GTTTAAGGTTTAGTGTTTGGGTTTTAGTGGTTGGGTTGCGGTTCGTCACAAAAGCTAGGTGTGAAGGGTTGAGGGTTTGCGGGCTTTTGCGGGTTCAGGGTCGGTCATCCACGGCTGTAACGCACACCGGAAAACCCGGCTAAGGATAAGGCACATGCGCAAGAGCGCGTACTGAACCCCAAGCTTTGTTTTGCGGGGACTCATCTTGGAACTAAGAGGGTCGGCTTAGGCGGAAAGGAATTTTGCTTTATCTTTGCAAATAAATCACACAGGGTTTAGGGTTTAGGGTTCAGGAATTAGGGTTTAGGGTTTAGGGTTACATACGCTCGGGCCCTGAACCCGATAGCTCTTTCAACCCTAAACCCTAAACCTTAATTAAAGGAAACTACAGGTGGGAATTTTAGGGTATATAGGGCTTCTATAAGATATATAGACCACCTATAAGGCTCCTATAACGGTAACTACCCACCTGAACATGTCCTAGACTTAAAGCCTAAAGCTCCATGTCGCAGAGTTCAGGCCACTTCTAAAGCCCCGTGACTCTACAAAAGCCCACAACAACCTGAACATTTACAATCACTGTTCGACAAAGAACCTGTAAAACACTACGAAGAACCGTGTAAGAGAACATATAGAGAAAACGTATGACACCAAACTGCAAAAACCCAGCTGCCCTAACCCGAAACCTTAAACCCCAAACCCCGAAACCCCTAAACCCTAAACCCCAGTCCCCTTTTGTTTTGCTCCCGTCGCCGTGCTCCATGGCGGGCCCCACAGGCGGTATCCTGCCCAGAGAACCCGATACCCCTTAATTAAGGAATATACCTTAAATTATAAGGGCCTTAATATTTTGGTTTCAGGCCTTACATTATAGGGGTCCTAATAATACGATTTTAGGTATATTCCAAAATTCGCCTTAGGGTTTAGGGTTGAGGGTTTAGGGGCCCCCCGCCGAAGCGGTCAGAGGTTCCTATTCGGACTTCCTCTATTCCCCACCTCTTAATCCCGTCCCCAGTGACCCCCACCTTCTGTGTGAACCCGAAAATGAGCCCCAGGGTCCTGCGGTGAAATCTCGCCTCCTCCAATGGATTTGGGCTCTCTGTAGGGAGTCTCACCCACCCCTTGTGCCCCGCCCCCGCTGCTTCCCTTGTCTCGTCCCCTTCCCCGGTCCTCGTCCGCTCCGCCAACGGCGCCCAGCAGTTCGTTGGCCCTCTTTGTTTGCGGCCGGGCTGAGGCGGACGACGCGAAGCGTTTAATTGGGTTTAGGGTTTAGGACTTGGGGTTTGGGGCTTTGGGTTTAGGGCTTTGGGTTTAGGATTTTTGGGTTTAGGGGTTCGGGGTTGGGGTTTAAGGGTTAGGGGGTTTAGGGCTTAGGGTTAGAGGTTTAGGGTTCAGGGCTTAGGGTTTAGGATGTAGGGTTTGGGGCTACGGCTGCTGTAAAAAGGGTTTTGTAAGATTGATATCGGGGTTGACATGGCTTTCGTCGGTGTGTGTACGGTTTAATACAATAGAGCAGTGGCTCTAAGGTGCGGGGATTGGAAGCCGCAAACGAAACGGCTGTGGCACCCTGAAAAAAGTTAAAGAACGCCCGTAAAGGCTGAACAGGACTTAGAAGACCAGCAGCCTGGGTGAGCAGGGTATAGACGAGGGTCGTGTTGCCCTATTTGGGGATGAGGGTTTGGGACATCGCACGGTGGTAGTACATCCTCAGCTTACGCATAGATGCTGAGTAAGTCTCCAGAGACTCCAATATCCCTTAATTAAGGAATATACCTTAAATCATATTAAGGATCCTACTATAATTTAAGGAATATTCCATAATTAAGGAATATTGGAGCCTCTGGGTCTTCCGGGTAGCTTAAAGATCCCACGGCAGTCCGCAGCGTCATCGGGAAGAGCGAGTCGGTACTGGCTGTGTGGTGCGTAGGGCAGCCTCAGCAAGGACAGTTGTCGCTCGGTTTAGGGTTTAGGGTTTAGGGTTTAGGGCTTAGGGTTTAGGGTTTAGGGTTTAGTGTTCGCTATAGTTGGGTTGAGAGGGTCTGCCCTGAGAACCTAATACCCCTTAATTGAGGGAGATACCTTAAGTTGTAGGGGCCCTAATATTATGCTTAAAGGGTATTGGTTTGGGTTCTCTGGGTGGCAAGGGCCTCGTGTGTACTTACAGGGTTCTGCCTCTGTAAGCTGAAAGTCAGAGCTTTGGAAATCCCTAAACCCTAAAACCCTAAACCCTAAACCCTAAACCCTAAACCCTAAACCCTAAACCCCCCATAGCGTCTAGGGGTTAGCCTAGAGGGATTCGGGTTTAGGGCTTGGGGTTTAGCGTATAGGGTTAAGGCTTTAGGTTGCAGGGCTCAGGGTTTAGCCAAGAAAAACAGTGCTTTGGGCTTCTTGGGTTTGGTGTTTGGGGCCCAGAGCCGTGGGATTTTAGGGTTTAGGGATAGGGTCTAGGGATTTAGGGATTTAGGGTTTAAGGTTGAGGGATTCGGGCACAGATTCTGATAGACCCTAAACCCAGACACTAAAGCCCCTTAACCCCTAAAACCTAAACCCTAAACTCTAAAACCTAAACCCTAAACCCTAAACCCTGAATCCTCTACTCTAAACCCTAAAACTGCAGGTTAGGAACGAGAGAATGTTTCTGGCTTAGAGCTTAGGGCTGGGCTCTAGGATTCGGAACGAGGGTTTGATGTCAGCTACCTTTCTGCCCGGGTTTGGAGTTTTGAGTTTAGGGTTTAGAGTTTAGGGTTTAGGGTTTAGGGGAGCGCCAATAAAGTGGCCTTAATAATTAGAATAAGGTTTTCGGGGTATGCTATACTATAGTTATAATAAGGAACCCCCAAATCGTATTAGTAATTATTCAGGCCCCTACATTCAACCCCTAAACCCCTAAACCCTAATCGGGGCTTAGGCGATGTAGGATTGTAGCGCTCACTACCTGACGGACGGTCTGTAAAACTGCAAGCACTCACTTTCTAGCTGATGATGAGCAGAGTACCCTAGCCTCTTGAAGAATAACAGGATTGTATAAACCCCCAAAGGTAAAAGGTGACATACTCAGCCCCTAAGAATATTTCTATTTCGTCAACCCGCTAAGACCCCCCCAAATTAAAACCCTAGAGACGCCCCCCTGGAACACTCTCATAAAAGCCATCTCAAACACAATCCCTAAGTCCTAAATCTCAAGCCCTAAGCCCTAAGACCCTGAGACCTTACGATTACGATCCTAAACCCTAAGCCCCTAAACCCCCAAATCCGAAACCTCAAAACCCGAACCTCCTACTTAAACCTTAAACCCCTAAACCCCTAACCTTTAAACCTCCAAACAGCTAAAACCCCTAAACCCTAAACC